TGTTAGTAATGGTGGACGAAGCGAGAGAAAAGAATACATTTTAAATAAAAATATGGTGATTTAAAAATTAAAAAAATTAGTGGTTGTAATTCTAATACTTTTATCATTAAATATTATTTTTGTCATAAAAAATGTGAAATAAAAATCCACCTACGGTGGTTTTTTGGACTCAGCCAAAATGTGTCGGGACGAGTGTTTCCACGTCTTTTCACTAGAAGAATAACTTCACTGTTACAATCAGTGGTGAGCAGCACTAATTCTGTTAGTTGTGAGTTCTAAACACACGTGACCACAGAGTCTGAGCTGAAGCTAACTAATGCACAACTTTGCCTCAGAGTTCACTAGAACTTGTTTCCAGTGAGAACCTGAGCCATTCTTGCACAACACTGCCAACTAGTGGCATGACTGATTGCTTTCAACCATCGGAAATATTCGTCGCAGTTTGAGGAAGTGATTTATAGAAAGTTGTTGTCGACTACAAGTTCTGCTGCTTCTTGGTCATTTTTCTAATGTTTGTGGCAGAGATTCAGTAAGAAAGCATGGAATATATTAGTCATTTAAACTGTTTATTGGAGAACTGAAGCAATGCATTCTGGGTAAAGGATGAAGGAAAGGAAACCGTCTTCAAAATAAGAGCATGAATTTAAACTGTGCCATGCTTCAGTACAACATGACACTGGTTGATGGTTGAAGATGTAGTGTGTCATAAATTATTATAATTCCTCCCTCTACCCTCTCAGAGCTCATAGGAGCATGTAAACAACAATAATTATGGTTGGATTGTGTTTGTTTTTCACTCAACTTTCAGTGTTGTTGGGAAAACTTGTATTTTTCTCTAACAGTGGTTCTAGAGTCGTGAAAATCAGCTGATGTTCAGTAAGATTAAAGCAGCTCTGATCCTCACATAAAATCATTTTAAACAAATAACATCAATTAAAACTGCTGGAGCCTTTTGTCAAGTGTGTGTCTGTGTGTGTCTGTGTGTCTGTGTGTGTGTGTGTGTGTGTGTGTGTGTGTGTCTGTGTGTGTGTG